ATGTTCCAGCTTCGTATAGACCTCGCAATCCAGCTGAGAGAAATTATAAATATATAATATGAATGGATAAATAACACTGTCAAGCCCCCTTCCTTTTTGTACTTAAGGTCGTGGCAACGTTAAACTAATCAACTAAATCTATTTTAGGTTCCAATAAACTATACGTCTTACTTCTCACTACTTCCTTCAGATTGTAAACATGGTATTCTCCGCTGTTGATCAGGTTGTGATGGGAAAGGCCTCGTCTGGTTGTGGGAATCACCTGTGTACATGACGGGGTGTGGTGGCTGCTGGTGTGTGTACAAGGACACTTTCACTTTAGACTGGTGTGTGCAATAAATGGGAAATTTTCAAGGATTTAATGAATGATACAAAATATAATGCTAGACAAAAAAATCCTGAAACTGTTTAAAATTAATTGCATAGTTTAAAGTAAGAGTTCAACTACCGGATTATTTTTATTTTCCTTCAATAAATAATTAACTATAACTCATAAATAGATAGCCAAAAAATCCCCAGAATTGAATACATAGACGAGGCCATAAAGCAAACTGACCTACTTACTCACATTGAGAATTTCAATCAAAAATGTAGTCATAAAAAAGTGATTTCTTCACAGAATAAAAAGAGAAAGTAATATTTGAGTGAAAATGTAATGCAAAACCCCAAATAAGATTCAACAACTGAAAAAGATGAAGGGGAAAGAACAATTAAAAAGGATTTGGGTTCAGACAGCTGCTTGTGGCGTGCAGATTAACCTTCTGCTGTGTTTTTACGTGTGTCCATGGCAACGCACTGAGTAGCTAGAGTGTGTGTACGGTCTATTTTTAGCTCAGCAAGTATGTGTGTGTTGACAGATTAAAAAATCTCTCCACTCACTCTGTAAATGTCCTGTATGTGTTGATGATGAGGAGGAGGGCAGGGCTGCACCTAATGACTATTTATTTGACTATCAATTCATCTGCCAAGAACCGCACATTTCCACCATCCTTTTCTCACATTTTAGAAAATGTTTTAAGGTTTGATCCACAGTCCAAAATATAATAAGATAAGATATTTAGTTTACCATCACATAAGACACCGACCCCTCATATCATAAAGGCTTGAAACAATGAAAACGTGGCATAAAAAACTACTTAAACAATAAAATGATTATCCGTCTGATTTATCAATTATTAACTCATCTTTCAGCTATAAATCAGACTGACCATTTTTTTAATTGACTAAGGATAAATATTTGTAGCAGGAAGACGACAGCAAATCCATCTGAATTGACCTCAGCCCTGTCTAGATGCTAAACCTATACCAACTGTGGTCACATTACCATTATACCCATGGTCCATTCACTTTAAGCATACAGTACATAACTACCAATATAGTATATAAATAACTTATGAAGCTAATTGATCATTCCTGTGATGTCTCCTCTTCTCTAGTCATGTGACATGTCCTCCATAAATAAACTCTTCACACTTACTGTGTGAGACTGTAAGGTCCTTAACCTCGACAGATCTCGCCCACATACCAAGGATATAAATGTCTTTAAAAAAGCCTTAGAGCCACCACACAAATAAGCTATAAGCTGATTTATGACGGTGCAACTTCTTAAGCTCAACTGTATCCTTGACAAGCCCCCGACTGGAGTGTAGTCAGCACTATGTGTCAGACAGTTATACAAAACAAAGTGTGTGTGTGGTGCTGTAACATTGAGTTCTGACAGTGAGAACAACACATGACTGCGTCTATATGCAGCCTGTCTGCAGACATGACGCAGGAATACACCGAGCCATCCTAGAGTCTGAAGGGGTGAGGGTCCTTTACCTTTCTGACTGACAATGCAAATAAAACTCCTTCAAACTCATACATTTTATGCTTATTCTTGTAGTACATTTTTTTAAGAAATAACTTAGCTGGCATGTGATTCAGCTTATACAATGGCTGATTCAAAGCTTTTTTTTCACCCAAATATCTAGCCTCTTGGCCCACTCTGGCGCATTTACAGAAATGTTTATTAATGTTAATGTGCACCGTCTCTGTTGTTGTTGAGTTTTCTACATGTCAAATACTCCAAATCTGAGGCCATGGTTCTCAGCAGGAAACCGATTGACTGTCCACTTCAAGTAGGGAATGAGTCCTTACCCCAAGTGAAGGAGTTCAAGTATCTCGGAGTCTTGTTCTTGAGTGAGGGAACAATGGAGCGTGAGATGGGCCGGAGAATCGGAGGAGCGGGAGCGGTACTGCAGTCGCTTTACCGCACCGTTGTGACGAAAAGGGAGCTGAGCCAGAAGGCAAAGCTCTCTGTCTACCGGGCCATTTTCGTTCCTACCCTCACCTATGGTCATGAAGGATGGGTCATGACCAAAAGAACGAGATCGCGGATACAAGCGGCCGAGATGGGTTTTCTCCGCAGAGTGGCTGGTGTCTCCCTTAGGGATAAGGTGAGAAGTTCAGTCATCCGGGAGGGACTCAGAGTTGAGCCGCTCCTCCTTCGTGTCGAAAGGAGCCAGTTGAGGTGGTTCGGGCACCTAGTTAGGATGCCACCTGGGCGCCTCCCTAGGGAGGTGTTCCAGGCACGTCCAGCTGGGAAGAGACCAAGGGGTAGACCTAGGACCAGGTGGAGGGATTATATCTCTTCGCTGGCCTGGGAGCGCCTTGGGATCCCCCAGTCAGAGCTGATGTGGCCAGGGAAAAGAAAGTTTGGGGCTCTCTGCTGGAACTGCTACCCCCGCGACCCGACCACGGATAAGCGGGAGAAGATGGATGGATGGAAATACTGCGTTAACACGACAAAAGAAATGACATTTCCCTCCAGATTTGCGGTGTCATCTGAGGGATCTCCTGAACAGATTTTCACCACAACACAGACAAGTCAAGGCTATTAAACACAACAGGTTTTTCTAGCATGTGAGCTTGTGGGGAGCCACAGTCTTATTTAACAAATGTACACATCTCAATCCTCTGCTGAGGGCAGAGTTTGTTCATTTGGCTCAATTTCAGGTGTTTGGCTCTAGCTGTGTTTTTTATATTTGAGCACATTTTTTTAATTATTATTTTTTTTTAAATCATCCTGTCCTGGGAATCTAAACAGCAAATAAAATAAATTCAGTTTATGATGCCCAACAGAAACAAGTTAATTTGTTTTATTTCCTTTACATTATGGTAGCTAAGGGAAACAGAAAGACAGACAGGTGTGATCTGCGACTTAAGAAGGCTTTCTTTCTTTCATGACTCAGCGCTTTTCGTCACTGGTGCTTCTCTTTCCAGACAAGCTCAGCTAAAAAAAGGCACTCCTGTTTTTCCCGTTTGTAATCCAGAACCTTAGTAAAGTCTTATAGTTCTGTAGATTTCAAAAAGTGGTTTCCGCCTTTACCGTTGCCTGCAATTAATTTAAGATCCAAAATAATGAAGCAAAGCCGGGAAACACACTTTTTTCAAAAGACAATAGTCATTTATATCGTGCAGAAAGCAGTTTCCACCTTTAATTAAAGTCTCATGTGAGTCATTTTTCAGTGTGATCTGATTCCAGTGAAAGCTCATGTTGACGTCAGCCAGGTGCAAGCAGGAGATCACAGACAGCCAGACAGACAGGCAGACAGACAGACAGACAGACAGACACACACACAGACAGAGCGACAGAGAGACAGACAGCCAGGTTACAGACAGCCAGGTTACAGACAGCCAGGTTACAGACAGACAGGCAGGCAGGCAGACAGACACACAGACAGAGCGACAGACACACACACAGACAGAGAGACAGACAGCCAGGTTACAGACAGACAGACAGATCAGTGAGGACAGACAGACGGGGGGTGTAAGCTGAGAGCTGCAGGGGGAGCAGCGCTGGAGTCCAGCAGAGGATCTGATATCTGAGACCATGGAACAAGAAGACACACTAAACCGGGCTGATTCTCACTGTGCCACCGAGGAGGCCGTCGCCAAACTCTGTGCATCAGAGAGTCGGCACACCTAATTAGAATCACTTTCACGTGTTAAGGGAGAAATATTAACAACGTTTTAGCTCTGCTTCTTTAGTGTGCCACAGAGGGATAACTTGATATTTGGGTGGTGCATATACATCGATATGTTTGAGGTCATTTAGTATTTTGATAATAGTTTATCTACCCGAGAATACTTAACTTTTCAACTGTAAAATGTCCCGTTCAGTATAACTTGTTTGGAATAATCTTTGGTCATGTTATGGAGTTATCATACATTTGCCTCCAGGTTCTAATGTGCAATACAGTTGTTAACATTAGTTACATGAAGCAAACTCCTTTTGTTCTTGTTTGAGAGCACGGTTTATGTCTGGTGCTTCTAAATATCATTTAGTTAATCACTCAGCACTTCTGAAATAGTGAGGAGACACTGAGAGCATCACATTGTCCATTCATGGATTTAGAAACTTAAAATGTAGTCATATCTGATCCATTTTGCACTATACAATTATTTTTAACAGATCTGGGGGCAGGTTCACATTTGGTGTCGCTTTCTTTTTAAATTCTAAAGATTACTTTAGATAAAAGATATTAACATTTACAACTCGATACTACAAGAGTCTAAAACATTTCATTTATTTGCATACTTCTGTTTTGCCATTGCAACTCTTTAAACAAGCTTTGTTTACTACATTGAAATGCTTTTAAAAAAGGATGTTTTGTTTAACGTGGAGACAGAAAGAGCAGCCTCTCCTCTCTAGGTGTTTCTTATCAACGCACATCTGCACATCCGTAAGCAAACACACGGGTTTATGAATGATTTGTTTTCGCAGACAGACTGCCTTTTCAGAATAAACAAAGTGGACCATCCAACATGAAGACAGGCTCTCTATAGTGACATTTCCTGAAGCCTAGATGGAATCAGTTACAATATTTAAAAGAACATTTGCTGCAAAAGTGTAGGAATTAAAACTTTAAAAACTAGCATTAACATTAGTATAGCGTTTACTTTCTTTAATGACATGCATGCCAGAGTGCAAATGTAAGAAATGTGCAGCCTCTTACCTTTTTCTGGTACCACACCACGGCATCTTTTACTTTGGAAGCCATTTACATTTCCCTTCTCCCCGCCTAGGGCATCTTAGACTGAAACACACACACACACAGCAAGAGAGAGAGAGAGCAGTGTGAGTAATGAGGAGAGAGAGAGCACTGAGCCTATATACCTGGCAGGAAGGTGTGTCCTAACACTGACGAAGGAGAGAGCGGGGGGGAAGAACACACACACACTTTGATTTCAATACATACACACATAATATGTAATAATGTAATACGCCCCCTTGTCTCTGTTTACACCCATCTTACAAACAAATAGTCTACCTAGTAGTTGACCTCCATGTTGGTGGTGGTGAGACCTGGTTGCTGCCACTGAATCACAATCTTCTCACAAACAAGCACACACCCCCATGAATTCTGGGAAATGTTGGTAATGTCTGTTAATTCCTTGGCAGCAGTTTGGGTGTGTGGGTGACTGGTTGGAAAGAGAGACTCAAACACACACACTAGGGCTGAACGATATACCGTGTCATGGCGATAACCGCGGTATGCGCATGCGCGGTATTCACACCGCAGGGACGTGCGGTTTTATTCATTTTTTAAAAAATGCTAACGCACTTTAGCACAGAATTCAAAATAAAGATACCCTTATTACTTATCGAAACTGCACATACAATATATCCGATTAAAGCTGAGACTCCACAGATTATTTAAGTATAGTATCTAAGCGATCCGATCTCGCGACAGGGGAAGCAAACACAGACATCACAACACGTACCTTTACGGAGCTTTTACGGGAGATCGTCTCACCGTAGCTGTCAATCTGATCAAAAGACGTGTTCAATTGCATTAAAACGAGAAAAAACGCGGCTGAATCGGTTGATCCATAGGTTGATAATGTATCTGTGGCTTTGAAGCAATTGTTTATAATCCATAATTCCATTTTTATGTAAAAATCGGAGCACAAAAGTTAGCTGCTAATGGTAGCCACCTTGGTGGTATGCAGCTTCCAGTTTTGGCTACGCGTCACTCTCACTCCTTATTTGTTCATGTGTTGGTGTGTGTAGAACTTCCCCTGATATTTGACCTTTTTAGACAGATTTAGCACAAAAAAAACCTCTTCTGGGGCCATTTGGGTGGATTTTCCATATCTCTGGCCCACCTTGCTGGATTTTGACATGTGACATCAGTCCTTATTTGGTAATGTGTGTGTGTGAGACTTCCGCATAGCCAAGACCGGAAGCAGCAGCCATTCTGGTGGATACCATTAGCAGCTAACTTTTGCTCTGCGATATTTACATACAAATGGAATTATGGATTATAAATTAAATCTTTTTTTTATACAGAGACGTTAAAAACCTATGGATTAACCGATTCAGCCGCGTTTTTTCTTTCTCGTTTTAATGCCATTGAACACGTATTTTGATCAGATTGACAGCTACGGTGAGACATCTCCCCTAGAAGCTACGTAAAGGTACGTGTTGTGATGTCTGTGTTTGCTTCCCCTGTCCGAGTTCGGATCACTCAGTGATGATACTATATATCTAAATTATCTGTGGAACCTCAGCTTTAATCGGATATCTTGTAAATTCAGCTACGATAAGTAATAAGGGTACTTTTATCTTGAGTTCTGTGCCAAAGTGCGTTAGCATTTTTCGCTCAGGGGTCATTTAGATGCTTCTTATGAGACTTGTGTTTTGTTTTGGTATAAAATGGTTTGTATCGTCAGTTAGCTGAGATTATTTCCGTTAATCTGGTATAACACATTAATAGGTTCTTAAATATTAAGATCCCCTGAGACACAGTGTCGTGAAAAAAAAAGTAAAGTACCGGCCGGGACTTTGGGGTTTAACAGGTTAAAAAACCGCAATATATACCGCAGGGGGGGGGGGGGAAATCGCGATGTCAGTTTTTTTCAATACCGTGCAGCCCTAACACACACACACAGTTCAAATGAAGAGCTGGCGTTGCATTGAAGCATGAACCACAGAAACACAAGAGTATTAAGTGTGTGTTATGGTAAGTATGTCAGTTTTCCCCGCTCCCTCACAGGTAACAACCCACCAACCAGCGACTCCAAAGCTCATAAAGTAACATGTATATTCTTTTTTTATCTTTACAAAAAGAAGACCAATAGGATGCGATTCCTGGAGGATAAACAAAGTTATAATGCAATTACACTTTTATATGGGAGCAATTATAATATTATATGTACCAAACTAACATTTAAATTATAATCTTATACAACCAGACCAAAATATCTTTATATCTTTTTGACAGAACGTACAACCAAAGCCTGCCAGCATGTTGTTACAGCACAGGACTGTTGCATTGAGCTGGCGTCACAAGAACATCTGTACAGTACTCTCGCTGAAAGTAGATCATATTGCTTATATTGTGAGTACTCATAATGTCTTATCTTACACTGAACAAAAATATAAATGCAACACTTTTGTTTTTGCTCCCATTTTTCATGAGATGAACTCAAAGATCTAAAATATTTGCTATATACACAAAATAACCATTTCTCTCAAATATTGTTCACAAATCTGAAAAAATCTGTGACATTTACAAAGCCATGTTGGATAAACTACCATCTTATATCTGCTCCCTGATCTCTCTGCGAATTGAAAGTACTTATTGCCTGAGATCGCATGCTGTGGTTTTATTAAATGTGCCAAGTGCTAGGACTGTCTTAGGGAAGAAAGCTTTTAGATGTGCAGCTCCACTAACATGGAACAGTCTGCAAAAAGAATGGAAAATTACCAAGCTAGTACCACTACATGTTTTTAAAGCTCGGTTGGATGCTACAAAATCAGATGCTGTTGGTATCTGTACATGTGGTTAAATATGTCAATTGTAATCCCTGTACATTTTGCTGTATGATGTCCTTTTGTTGTTCTGTTGTTTATGTCTTCTTGTGGAACCTACTGCTGCAGGTCTCCCTTGAAAAAGAGATCATTGATCTCAATGGGATTTTACCTGGATAAATAAAGGTTTTGAATTGAATTGAATTGAATAGTGAGCACTTCTCCTTTGCCGAGATAATCCATCCCACCTCACAGGTGTGGCATATCAAGATGCTGATTAGACAGCATGATTATTGCACAGGTGTGCCTTAGGCTGGCCACAATAAAAGGTCACTCTGAAATGTTCAGTTTTATCACACAGCACAATGCCACAGATGTCGCAAGTCTTGAGGGAGCAGACAGCAGGAATGTCCACCAGAGCTGTTGCCCGTGAATTGAATGTTAATTTCTCTACCATAAGCTGTCTCCAAAGGCGTTTCAGAGAATTTGGCAGTACATCCAACCGGCCTCACAACCGCAGACCATGTGTAACCACACCAGCCCAGGACCTCCACATCCAGCATGTTCACCTCCAAGATCGTCTGAGACCAGCCACTCGGACAGCTGCTGCAACAATCTGTTTGCATAACCAAATAATTTCTGCACAAACTGTCAGAAACCGTCTCAGGGAAGCTCATCTGCATGCTCGTCGTCCTCATCGGGGTCTCGACCTGACTCCGGTTCGTCGTCGTAACCGACTTGAGTGGGCAAATGCTCACATTCGATGGCGTCTGGCACGATGGAGAGGTGTTGAATCACGGATGAATCCCGGTTTTCACTGTTCAGGGCAGATGGCAGACAGCGTGTGTGGCGTCGTGTGGGTGAGCGGTTTTCTGATGTCAATGTTGTGAATCGAGTGGCCCATGGTGGGGTTATGGTATGGGCAGGCGTATGTTATGGACGACGAACACAGGTGCATTTTATTGATGGCATTGTGAATGCACAGAGATACCGTGACGAGATCCTGAGGCCCATTGTTGTGCCATTCATCCACGACCATCACCTCATGTTGCAGCATGAGAATGCACGGCCCCATGTTGCAAGGATCTGTACACAATTCCTGGAGGCTGAAAACATCCCAGTTCTTGCATGGCCAGCATACTCACCGGACATGTCACCCATTGAGCATGTTTGGGATGCTCTGGATCGGCGTATACGACAGCGTGTTCCAGTTCCTGCCAATATCCAGCAACTTCGCACAGCCATTGAAGAGGAGTGGACCAACATTCCACAGGCCACAATCAACAACCTGATCAACTCTATGTGAAGGAGATGTGTTGCACTGCGTGAGGCAAATGGTGGTAACACCAGATACTGACTGGTTTTCGGACCCCCCCCCCCCAGTTGTGTCTTGGCGGGTCAAAGATCCTATCTACTGCCCAAACCAGTCATTCAAATCTCTTAAAACATCTGCAAAAACAACATGCTGGGACGAAGCTAGTAGCTAAGACCACAGAGACTCAGCCGACGCCACTCCACCTCCACCTAAGCAACAGCGGCTGGATTTTAACCAAGGGACTGCTAGCCAGGGAAACGTCGATAAAGCCATTGCACGGTATGTTGTAGAACACATGCAGGCTATTGCTACAGTGGAGTCACCCGCTTTCAGGGAGCTAGTTAGCATGATAGCATGTCCGGGCGGCACACGGCATATGGGACGGAAAACTTTTTCCAACTACCTGGAGAAAGAATATACAAAAATGGAAAGCCAGCTAATATCGATGCAATCCAGATTGCATATAAGGCATGTCAAGTTGATCAACAGATTGTATTATTCTCCAATGCAATAACAGTACTGAAATGAAGGCTATAAGGGCATTCATGGGAGCCCTTTTTGTAAGTAACTAAAACGTTACTTTTCACAGTAACGCATTACTTTAGAATGTGGACCAGGCCTCAATTAGACGCCTCCAGCTAGTTCAGAATGCAGTTGCACGTCTTCTCACTGGCCATAAAAAGCGCGACCATATCACCCCAATTCTGGCTTCATTGCACTGGCTTCCAGTTCGGTTCAGAATAGATTTTAAACTTCTTTTATTTGTTTTTAAAGCCCTAAATGGGCTGGCTCCTGCCTATATAGCCGAACTTCTCCATCGCTACACCCCAGGCAGAGCCTTAAGGTCGGCTGATCAGCTGTTGTTGATAGTGCCTAAGACCAGGCTTAAAACCTGAGGGCATAGAGCTTTCGCAGCGGCTGGCCTTAGGCTCTGGAATACTTAGTCCCTCCATGTGAGGTCGGCC